CCCCATCCCATTCCCAGGTGTCAGTGGTTCTGTCTCCAAGCACGGGCTGTGTTTCTCCATCCTCACGGCGTTCCGGAGCTCCATCCCATTCCCATATCCCATTCCCATATCCCATATCCCCATTCCCATATCCCCATTCCCATATCCCATATCCCCATTCCCATATCCCCATTCCCATATCCCATTCCCATATCCCATATCCCCATTCCTATATCCCCATTCCTATATCCCCATTCCCATATGCCATTCCCATATCCCATTCCCATATCCCATCCCCATATCCCTATTCCCTATTCCCATATCCCGTATCCCATATCCCGTATCCCATATCCCATTCCCATATCCCATATCCCATTCCCATATCCAATACCCCATATCCCATATCCCATAACTTCCCTATTCCCATATCCCATTCCCATATCCCATAATTTCCCCATTCCCATATCCCATATCCCCTATGCCATTCCCATATCCCATTCCCGTATCCCATATCCCAATCCCATTCCCATATCCCATTCCCATCCCCATATCCCATATCCCATAATTTCCCCATTCCCAGGTATCAGTGGTTCTCTCTCCAAGCACGGGCTGTGTTTCTCCATCCTCACAGCGTTCCGGAGCTCCATCCCATATCCCATATCCCATATCCCATATCCCATTCCCATATCCCATTCCCATATCCCATTCCCATATCCCATATCCCATATCCCATATCCCATAATTTCCCCATTCCCAGGTGTCAGTGGTTCTGTCTCCAAGCACACGCTCTGTTTCTCCATCCTCACGGCGTAACAGAGCTCCATCCCATATCCCATATCCTATATCCCATTCCCATATCCCATTCCCATATCCCATATCCCATAATTCCCCCATTCCCAGGTGTCAGTGGTTCCGTCTCCAAGCACACTCTCTGTTTCTCCATCCTCACGGCGTTCCGGAGCTCCATCCTGGCTTCGTTCCACGTGGAGCTGCAGCTGCAGCCTCAGCTCCGCCTCGGGCGCCACTCGGTGCCCGCCTTCATCCCCCTGGAGCGCCTCGCCCGAAAATTCCTGCCCCGGGATCTGAGAGCCTTCCTGGAGCTCCTCTGCGCACACCTCAACGGCTTCATGGGACGGAGGCACCAGCTGGAGCAGCTCCAGGTGGGAATTCCGGGAATTTCTGGGTCTGGAGGTGATGGAATTGTTGGAGTGGAGAGGAGCGTTTCCAGGTGGGAATTCCCAGGAATTCTGGAAGTAGAGGGAGAGCAATTCCAGGTGGGAATTCCTGGCGATTTCCAGGGCTGGAGGGGGAGCAATTGCAGGTGGGAATTCCCAGGAATTTCCAGGGCTGGAGGCGGAAGGGGAGCAATTCCAGCTGTGAATTCCTGGGAATTCTGGGATTGGGGATGGAGTAGGAGCAATTCCAGGTGGGAATTCCTGGGAATTTTGGGGCTGAAGGCGATGGAAGAGTCAGGATGGAGGTGGAGCAATTCCAGGTGGGAATTCCAGGATTGGAGATGGGGGGGGAGCAATTCCAGGAATTCCCAGGAATTATGAGGAATTCTGGACGTGCTGGAAGGGTTGGGGTCAAGAGGAGAAATTCCAGGTGGGAATTCTGGGAATTCTGGAACTGTTGGAAGGGTTGGGATGGAGTGGAGCAATTCCAAATCCCAAACCCCAAATCCCGAATTTCCCCCGTTCCAGGTGCATTTTCCCAGTTGGATCATGGGCGTTCCCCATGGAATTTCCTATGCAACTTCCTGACCTTCCAAATCCCAAACCCCAAATCCTGAATCCCAGATCCCGAATCCCAAATCCCAATTCCCCAAATCCCTAATTTCCCCCGTTCCAGGTGCATTTTCTCGATTGACTTGTGGGAGTTCCCTGTGGGAATTCCCTGTGCAACCTCCTGAGCTTCCAAACCCCAAATTCCAAATCCCCAATCCTACCAATTCCCTGAATCCCAAATCCTGAATCCCAACCCCCAAATCCCAAATTTCCCTAAAACCCAAATCCCGAATTTCCCCCATTCCAGGCACGTTTTCCCAATTGGATCATGGGCGTTCTCGTGGGAATTCCCTGTGGAACCTCTTGAGCTTCCGAATCCCAAAATCCCGAATCCCAAACCCCCAATCCCGAATCCCAAATCCCAAACCTCCAAACTGCAAATCCTGAATCCCAAATCCCAAACCCTAAATCCCAAATCCTGAATTTCCTTAAATCCCAAATCCCAAATTTCCCCCATTCCAGGAGCATTTTCCCGACTGTCTCGTGGGCACTCACGTCGGAATTCCCTGTGCAATCTCCTGAGCTTCCAAATCCCAAACCCCAAATCCCAAACCCCAAATCCGGAATTTCCCAATTATCCCAAATCCGGAATTTCCCAATTATCCCAAATCCCGAATTTCCCCCATTCCAGGCGCATTTTCCCGACTGTCTCGTGGGCGCTCCCCGTGGGAATTCCCTGTGCGATCTCCTGATCTTCCAAATCCCAAACCCCAATTCCCGAATCCCAAATTCCACCAATTCCCTGAATCCCAAGCTCCAGGTCTCAAATCTTAAACCCCAAATCCCAAATCCTAAATCCCAAATTACCAATTATCCCAAATCCCAAATTTCCCCCATTTCAGGCGCGTTTTCCCGACTGTCTCGTGGGTGCTCCCTGTGGGAATTCCCTGTGCAACCTCCTGAGTTTCCAAATCCCAAACCCCAAACTCTGAATCCCAAATCCCGAATTTCCCTAAATCCCAAATCCCGAATTTCCCTGTTCCAGGAGCGTTTTCCCGACTGTCTCGTGGGCGCTCCCCATGGGAATTCCCTGTGCAATCTCCTGAGTTTCCGGTACCGCGTTCCCGGGAAAAATCGGGAATTGCCAGAATTCCGAGCGCGGCTCCTGTACCGGGATCCCTGCAGGACCCTCCCCAGTGACGTCACTGTGACCTGCGCCTGTGAGTGTGGTTGGGATTTGGGATTTGGGGTTTGGGATTCAGCAATTCCAGGATTTGGGGTTTGGGAAATGGGGGATTTGGGGTTTGGTGTTTGGGATTTGGGGTTTGGGATTTGGAGTTTGGGGCATTTGGGGTTTAGGATTTGGGGTTTGGGGGATTTGGGGTTTGGGATTTGGGGTTTAGGGTTTGGGGTTTGGGGCATTTGGGGTTTGGGGGATTTGGGGTTTGGGATTTGGGATTCAGCAATTCCAGGGTTTGGGGTTTGGGATTCAGCAATTCCAAGATTTGGGGTTTGGGGTTTGGGATTCAGCAATTCCAAGATTTGGGGTTTGGGGTTTGGGGTTTAGGATTCAGAAATTCCAGGTTTTGGGGTTTGGTGTTTGGGATTTGGGGTTTGGTGTTTGGGATTTGGGGTTTGGGATTTGGGATTTGGGGTTTGGGATCCCTGCGGGAGCCTCCCCAACAACGTCACCGTCACCTGCGCCTGTGAGTGTGGGGTTGGGATTGGGGTTTGGGATTTGGGATTTGGGGTTTGGGGTTTGGGATTCAGCAATTCCAGGATTTGGGGTTTGGGGTTTGGGATTTGGGGGGTTTGGGATTTGGGATTTGGGGTTTGGGGTTTGGGATCCCTGCAGGAGCCTCCCCAGCGATGTCACCGTCACCTGTGCCTGTGAGTGTGGGGTTGGGATTGGGGTTTGGGATTTGGGGTTTTGGGTTTGGGGTTTGGGATTTGGGATTTGAGGTTTGGGATTCAGCAATTCCAGGATTTGGGGTTTGGGGGATTTGGGATTCAGCAATTCCAGGATTTGGGGGATTTGGGGGATTTGGGATTTGAGAGATTTGGGATCTCTGCAGGAGCCTCCCCAGCGACGTCACCGTGTCCTATCCCCATGACTTTGGGTTTTCCTGGGATTTCCTGGGGATTTTTTGGGATTTGGGGAATTCAGTAAATTTTCCCCACTGGATTCCCATTAATTTTCCCAGGGAATTCCCATTTTTCGCATGGAATTCCCACTAATTTTCTGATAGAATTCCAATGGAATTCCCATTAGTTTCTCCATGGAATTTCCATGGAATTCCCATTAATTTACCCATGGAATTCCCATTAATTTTCCCAGGGTTTTCCCTTTAATTTTCCATAGAATTCCCATAAATTTTCTCATAGAATTCCCATGGAATTCTCACGAATTTTCTCATGTAATTCCCATTTATTTCCCCATGGAATTCCCATTAATTTTCCCATGGAGTTCCCATTTATTTTCCCATAGAATTCCCATTAATTTTCCCGGAATTCTGGGAATCAGGGGCGGAAAATTCCCTCAGGAAAATGAGAATTCCCAGAAATTCCCAGAAATTTCCCGATTTTCCAGCGGATTCCGCAGCAGCCGCAGCTCACACGGAGCTTTTCCGACGCCTGGACCTTCCCGGAGCCTTCGAATCCATGAAATCCTTGGAATTGCGGCCCTGAGCCCCCTCTGGAATTCTCATCCCCTCGGAATCGGCGCCGTGGCCCCAGGTTTGTTGGGAATTTCTGGGTTCTGGAATTCCTGGATTTGGAATTCCTGGGATTTTCCAGTTCTGAAATTCCCGGGATTTCTCAGCTTCTGGAATTCCCAGGATTTCTCCGGTTCTGGAATTCCCAGGTTCTGGAATTCCTGGGAATTTCTGGGGTTCTGGAATTCTCAGGGATTTCCCCAGTTCTGGAATTCCCAGGGATTTCTGGGATACTGGAATTCCCGGGGTTTTCTCCAGTAGTTCTGGAATTCCTGGGAATTTTTCTGGTTCCAAAATTCCTGGGAATTTTTCCGCTTCTGGAATTCCCAGGGATTTTAGGGTTCTGGAATTCTCAGAATTTCTCCATTTCTGGAATTCCCAGGTTCTGGAATTCCCAGGGATTTCTCCGGTTCTGGAATTCCTGGGGATTTCTCCAGTTCTGGAATTTCCAGGAATTTCTCTGGTTTTGAGAGAAATCTGAGAAAAACTCAGGAAAAGTCTGCAAAAATTTGGGAAAAATCAGGGAAAAATTTGGGGCAAATCTGGGAAAAAGGAAAAATCTGGGAAAAAATTGGGAAGAATCTGGGAAAATTTGGGAAAATCCAGGAAAAGTTTGAGAAAAATCTGGGAAAAATTTGGGAAGAATCTGGGAAAATACAGGAAAAATTTTGGGAAAATCTGGGAAAATTTTTGGGAAAACCTGGAAAAAATCTGGGAAAAATCAAGGAAAAAATGGAAAAAGTCTGGGAAAAACTCAAGAAAAATCTGGGAAAAAATCTGGGAAAAACTTGGGAAAAAATAGGGAAAAATCTGGGAAAAATCCAGGGAAAATCTGGGAAAAACTCAAAAAAAATCTGGGAAAAATCTGGGAAAATCCAGGATAAATTTGGAAAAAATCTGGGAAAAAATAGGGAACAATCTGGAACAATCCAGGAAAATTTTTGGGAAAATTTGAGAAAAACTCAGGAAAAATCTGTGAAAAAATTTTAGAAAACCTGGAAAAAATCCGGAGAAAATTCAGGAAAAAAATGGGAAAAATTTGGGAAAAAATAAGGAAAAGTCTGGAACAATCCAGGAAAAATTTGGAAAAAATCTGGAAAAATTTTGGGAAAAACTGGAAAAAATCCAGGAAAAACTTGGGAAAAAATAGGGAAAAATCTGGGGGAACTCTGGGAATTTGGAGTGGGAATTGGATGAAAATTTGGGATTTTGGGTTTTTTGGTTTTTTTTCAGGATAAAATCCTTTGGAATGGCTCCAGTGCTCCTGAAAAAAAAGTGGGAAGTGCACGGAATAATCCATGCCGGGAATTCCAGGAATTCAGGAATTCCAAGAAATATTCCAGGTTTTCCTGCAAAACCTCAGGAATTTGTTAATAAAGCCCCACATTCCCAAAATTCTGAGTTTTTATGGAAAATCCGTCGCTTTCCTCAGATTCCATCCCGGGGTTTTATGGGAATAAAAAAAAAAAAAAAAGGGATTTTTCCATGGAATGGGGAAAACCCTGGGATTTGGAATTCTGGGATGGAAGTTCTGGGGGAATTCCCGGAATTCTGGGTCTTTGCCTGAATTTTGGGATCACTTGGGGGGGTTTAGGAATTCGGATCTCAGGGAGTTTGGGAATTCTGATCCTGAGGGAAATTTGGGAATTCTGATCCTGAGGAGTTTGGGAATTTTGATGCCAGGGAATTTGGGAATTCTGTTCCTGAGGGAATTTAGGAATTCTGATCTTGGGGAATTTGGGAATTCTGATCCCAGAGATTTTGGGAATTCTGATCCCGGGGAGTTGGGGAATTCTCATCCCAGGGGAGTTTGGGAATTCTGATCCTGAGGGAAATTTAGGAATTCTGATCTTGGGGAATTTGGGAATTCTGATCCTGAGGGAAATTTGGGAATTCTGATCTTGGGGAATTTGGGAATTCTGATCCTGAGGGAAATTTGGGAATTCTGATCTTGGGGAATTTGGGAATTCTGATCCTGGGGAGGGAATTTGGGAATTGTGATCCCGGAGATTTTGGAATTCCGATCCTGAGGAATTTGGGGAATTCCAGTCCTGAGGGAATTTGGGAATTCTGATCCCGAGGAGTTTAGGAATTCTGGTCCTGAGGAAATTTAGGAATTCTGATCTCGGAGATTTTGGGAATTCTGATCCTGGGGGGCATTGGAAATTCTTATCCTGAGGGAATTTGGGAATTCTGATCCCAGGGAATTTGGGAATTCTCATCCCAGGGGAATTTGGGAATTTCAATCATGAGGAAATTTGGGAATTCTGATCCCAGGGAGTTTGGGAATTCTGATCCCAGGGAGGGAATTTGGGAATTCTGATCCTGGGGTGTTTGGGAATTCTGATCCCAGAGATTTTGGAAATTCCAATTCTGAGGGAATTCGGGAATTCTGTTCCTGAGTAATTTGGGAATTCTGATCCCAGAAATTTTGAGAATTCCAAACCTGAGGGAATTCGGGAATTCTGATCCCGAGGAGTTCAGGAATTCTGATCCCAGGGGATTTGGGAATTCCAATCCCAGAGAATTTGGGAATTCTCATCCCAGGAGGGACTTGGGAATTCTAATCCTGGGGAATTTGGGAATTCCAATCCTCAGGGATTTTGTGAATTACAATCTCGGATTTTGGGAATTGGGCATTTTCTTTGGGAATGACCGAGTTTCCTTGGGAATTGCGTGTTTTTCCTTGGGAATTGAGCAGAATTCCTGGGGAATGAGGTTGAAAACTTGGGAATTAAAGAGTTTCCTTGGGAATGAGGCAGTAAATTCGGGAATTTGACAGTTTTCCTCGGGATTTAAACATTTTTTTGGGAATTGGGGGCATTCCTTAGGAATTTTCCAACCCCAAAAGTTTTCTTGGGAATGGAAAACACAAAATCATTGATAAAAAGGGGGGAAATTGAGCTGAAAATTGAATTTATTCCAAAAAAAGTTCAATTCTGGTCCCGTTTGCTCCTTTCCGTGATTTCTGTGATTTCTGTAATTTCCATGATTGATTTCCATGATTTCCACGATTTCTGTGATTTCTGTAATTTCTGTGATTTCCATAATTTCCGTGATTTCCATGATTTCTGTAATTTCTGTGATTTCTGTCATTTCCGTCATTTCCATGATTGATTTCCACGATTTCCATGATTTCTGTAATTTCCATGATTGATTTCCATAATTTCCATGATTTCCATGATTTCTGTGATTGATTTCCACTATTTCCAATATTTCCATGATTTCCATTATTTCCGTCATTTCCATGATTGATTTCCATAATTTCCATAATTTCCACAATACCATGATTTCTGTAATTTCCATTATTTCCATGATTTCTGTGATTTCCATTATTCCCATGATTGATTTCCGTGATTTCCATGATTTCCGTGATTGATTTCCATTATTTCTGTAATTTCCACGATTTCCATGAATTCCATGGTTTCCATGATTTCCATGATTGATTTCCATGATTTCCGTGATTTCCATGATTTCCAGGACTGATTTCCATTATTCCCATGATTTATTTCCGTAATTTCCACAATTTCCATGATTTTCGTGATTTTCATTATTTCTATAATTTCCATGGTTTCCATAATTCCCATGATTGATTTCCATGATTTCTGTAATTTCCATAATTTCCATGATTTTTGTGATTTCCATGATTCCCATTATTGATTTCCATGATTCCCATGATTTCCATTATTTCCATGATTTCCATGATTGATTTCCAAGATTTCCATTATTTCCATCATTTCTGTGATTTCCATGATTCCCATGATTTCTGTGATTGATTTCCACTATTTCCAATATTTCCATGATTTCCATTATTTCCATTATTTCCGTAATTTCCATTATTGAGTTCCATAATTTCTGTGATTTCCACCATTTCCATCATTTCCATGATTGATTTCCACGATTTCTGACATTTCCGTGATTTCCTTGATTTCTGTAATTTCCATGATTGATTTCCATTATTTCCATGATTTCTGTGATTTCCATAATTGATTTCCATTATTTCCAATATTTCCATGGTTTCCGTGATTTCCATGATTTCCATAATTTCCATTATTTCCATGACTGATTTCCATGATTTTCATTATTTCCATGATTGATTTCCGTGATTTCTGTGATTTCCATGATTGGTTTCCATAATTTCCATGATTTCCATAATTTCTGTGATTTCTGTTATTTCCACGACTTCTGCGGTTTCCGTGATTTCCATGATTCCCATGACTGATTTCCATTATTTCCAATATTTCCACGATTTCCATGATTTCCATGATTGATTTCCATGATTTCCACAATTTCTGTGATTTCCATAATTGATTTCCATTATTTCAAATATTTCCATGATTTCTGTGATTGTTTTCCACAATTTCCATTATTTCCACAATTTCCATAATTTCCATGATTTCCATGATTTCTGTGATTGATTTCCATAATTTCCATAATTTCCACAATTTCCGTAATTTCCACAATACCATGATTTCTGTAATTTCCATTATTTCCATAATTTTTGTGATTTCCATGATTCCCATGATTGATTTCTGTGATTTCCATGATTCCCATGATTGATTTCCATTATTTCTGTAATTTCCACGATTTCCATAATTTCCATGGTTTCCATGATTGATTTCCATGATTTCCGTGATTTCCATGATTTCCACGACTGATTTCCATTATTCCCATGATTGATTTCCATAATTTCCATTATTTCCATAATTTCCATGACTTCCACAATTTCCGTGATTTCCATAATTTCTGTGATTTCCATAATTGATTTCCATGATTTCCATTATTTCCATTTCTGTGATTTCCATGATTGATTTCTGTAATTTCCGTAATTTCCATGATTTCCATGATTGATTCCCATGATTTCCCTGATTTCCATGATTTCTGTGATTTCCATGATTTCTGTAATTTTGGTCATTTGCATGATTGATTTCCAATATTTCCACAATTTCCATAATTTCTGTGATTTCCATGATTTCCACAATTTTCATTATTGATTTCCATTCTTTCCGTAGTTTCCATTATTTCCATGATTTCCATGATTGATTTCCATGATTTCCATAATTTCTGTGATTTCCATAATTGATTTCCATTATTTCCAATATTTCCACGATTTCCACCATTTCCATAGTTTCCATGATTTCCATGATTGATTTCCATGATTTACATTATTTCTGTGATTTCCATAATTTCCATGATTTCTGCGATTTCCATCATTTCCATCATTTCCATGACTGATTTCTACAATTCCCATCATTTCCATCATTTCCATTATTTCCTTGATTTCCATAATTTCTGTGATTTCCATAATTGATTTCCATGATTTCCACATTTTCCATTATCTCCGTGATTTCCGTGATTTCCATTATTTATTCCCATGAATGGTTTCCATGGTTTCAATTCAAAATCCTTCCCAATTTTCCATTTTCAGCCCAAAATCCCTCCCAATTTTCCATTTTCACCCCAAATTTGTGCTGAATTTTGAACTCCTCCTCTTCCTCTCGGCCGCCTCTCTGCTCAGGTCCGGAGTTCTCCCTCCTCCCTTTCTCCTCCTGCAAAAAAAACCCAAAAAATTTCAATAAATTTGGGAAAAATCCCAAAAATTTTGGGATATTCTCATTGGAAAAAAAAAAATTGGGAAAAATCCCCCAAAATTTTGGGATATTCTCATCGGACAAAAAAAATAAATTCGGGAAAAATCTAAAAAAATTTTGAGATATTCCTGCCGGAAAAAAATAAATTTGGGAAAAATCCCAAAAAATTTGGGGATATTCTNTTTTTATTCTGTTTATAAAATGGAAAATCCCAAAATAATTTGTCATTAGTTAATTCTGATTTTGGTGCCCTTAATTAGGTGTTAAATAATTCTGATTTTCAACCCAAAATCGGGAGGGATTTTATATTTTCAACCCAAAATTGGGATGGGTTTTATGCTTTCAACAAAAAATCAGAAGTTATTTTATATTTTCAATTGAAAATCCCTCCCAATTTTCCATTTTCAATCCAAAATAGGGATGAGTTCTACATTTTTAATCCAAAATCAGGTGGTAATTTCTATTTTTAATAAAAATTCGGGAGGGATTTTATATTTTCATCCCAAAATCCCTCACAATTTTACATTTTAAACCCCAAATCGGGATGAATTATACATTTTTAATCCAAAATCGGGAGGGAATTTATATTTTTAATAAAAATTGGAGAAGGAATTCCCATTTTCATCCGAAAATCCCTCCCAATTTTACATTTTCACACCAAATTCGGGAGGAATTTTACATTTTCATCCCCAAATCCCTCCCAATTTTCCATTTTCATCCCAAAATCAGGATGAATTATACATTTTTAATCCAAAATCAGGCAGTAATTTTACATTTTCAACCGAAAATCCCTCCCAATTTTACATTTTTAATCCAAAATCAGGAAGGATTTTTAATTTTCAGTCCAAAATTGGGGTGGATTTTACATTTTCAACCCAAAATCAGGAAGGATTTAACATTTTCCATCCAAAATCCCCCCCAATTTTACATTTTTAACCCAAATTCCTTCCCAATTTTACATTTTTGACCCCAAAATCCCTCCCAATTTTACATTTTCAACCCAAAATCCCTCCCAATTTTCCATTTTCAGCCCAAAATCCCTCCCAATTTTCCATTTTTATCCCAAAATCTCTCCCAATTTTCCATTTTCACCCCAAATTTGGGCTGAATTTTAAGCTCCTCCTCTTCCTCTCAGCCGCCTCTCTGCTCAGGTCTGGAGTTCTCCCTCCTCCCTTCCTCCTCCTGCAAAAAAAACCCCACAAAAACATCGATAAATTCG